AACCATTTATTCTACTAACAACCTATTGTTACCAACTAAACTGCCTAACCATCAGTCTAATTCTCAAGGTTATCAATAACCAATCAATAACTTACCACAAAGTTTATTTGCCTATTCTACAGTGCGCTACATAGTTAGCTTGTTCCACAAGCTACCAACATGTGATTAACCTTGATGATCAAGTTTCTAACCTACCAATTAATTATAAACATATGTAAAATCAAAGCAACATCTATAAAGCTTCTAAGAAGCTTTTCTAGAAGGTATTATAAAATTAATCTACTTTAATTTATTTTTATCTACTTCTACCTAATTATATAGATATTTACTAGAATACTTATGTATATCTATGACACAATGCCCTATAAAATTAAAGAAATAAAAGAAATAGGATTATGAGTGAAGTTGTAGTACAATGAATGACAATAAATGTTGCAATAGTATTTGTAATGAATAACAAGCAAGAAGTCAAAATATTGTCTCAATGAGCAATATGTGCATACATATAAAATTAATTGCCTACAAATTTATTTCATGAAAACCTTCTATATCAAAGATCTTTGAATTATATATCAATAACTTTATTTAATTAATCAAATATATTTTTTATTTTAAAAAATATATAAACTAAGAAAATTCATATATCATTTTATATAATTCTTTTGAATCATTGTATATATATATATATATATATATATATATATAATAGATATTTTTATCTCAATTTTATTTTAAAATTTTATACCATATACATCAACTTGTCAAAAAATCAATTCTAAAGAAATTACATTGTATCTTAAAATATATATATATATATATATATATATATATATAATTGGTACCTAAAATTGTAAAAAATTAAAATTTTGTAAATAAGAGATTCTATCAAAATGAATCTTAACACAAGATTTAATATCTTTAATTTCAAAACTAATCAATAATACTTTTAAAAAAAAAAAAAAAAAAAAAAAAAAAAATCTTTTGTAGCCAACAATATCTATATCATCTTCTTTTTTATTTATTAATAACTTGGATTTTCTCTAGTATTTTTAGTACTTAAATGAATTTTCAACCAATTTTTATTACCAACCCAACCCAGTTTTTGATATTTTATAACAATAACCTTACAAAGTGGCATTATACTGTAAGAGCACATTAACCCATTGTATTACATGACAAGAGAAGCATAGAACCAATACTACGAAATCCATGTAATCAGGAAAGATGGGAACAAAATCACAACAGTCGGAATCTCACAATTAAAGACATTGCTTCAAAGCAGAGAAATATCACTCAAAGATAACAAAAATGCAGTGATCAATTCCAGTTTTTAACAACCCAATGTTGCGGGAATCCCTGTTTGTGTGAGAAACTCTCCTTCAACAAATGGACAGTCGGCTATGTGCAGATCTCATGAACTTCAGCAGCAAAATTGTCCGGACCACAATCAAGCCCATTTAGCAATCTCAGATCACGAAAAGCAAGTGAGTTTGCACTGAACTCAAGTTAAGAACAGTGACGTGGAGTTACTGATTGCTCTCAAACTACCAACTCCATAGCTGAACAGCATTCTGAGCATGGCCAGTATGATCTAGATAGAGTGCATTTGAGTAATGAACTGACTCCAATTGGGTCCGACATTCAGAAGATTTATGTTTGGAGGTCCAGAAGATTGTCAGTCCATGCTTCTCTTAAGTCACAATACTGCGGGATTAGATATCGTCAATATTGCACACCAAATGCAAGTCCCCTTTGCTTAATTCAGTAAACCTTCAATTATGAAAAAAGATCGCACACCGACTGAATGATTTTAAGTTGTGCGAAGTGTAATGTTCCGAGATAGAATCGGTATAATCTTTCCAGCAAGTGAAGATGAAGAAGCAGAAGAAGAAGAAGAAGACGAAGACGAAGACACGATTGAAAGAGGCTCAAAGTTGCACATCGAACTGAAAGTATGAGAGACATTCTTTGTAGGGTTTAGCATGTCGAATACATCTTGCCAGATGGCCGAGGAAATTCATCAAACAAAAGCAAGATCACCACTGAAAACAGTCAAGTTTGGGTGATTCCTGTTTCGACCCCTCCAGAATTTCATCTCTGCAATATAAATTCGCTGTGACTGAGCAGTAGTAACCCTCCTTAAGCGGATGGTAGTGGTAAGGAATCGTGAAACAATGCTTGATTTGTCCATTGATGACAGCTTTGCAAGGCAAGTGAGGACCGCTGCCGAGGTGACGAATCTGATTGCAGCAATGTGGAAACATTCACAAGCTGATCATGCAACAACTCGCTGAAAGGCTCAAATCACCACTCCAGTCACCGAATTTGTCGACACGGTGATGTTGCAGGCTTTCACACGAACTACTCTTCTCTATGCCACATCTTGTATCATGACACCGCTGCTGCTATAATTCCCCGCCGTTTCACTCCTTGGACCCACAGAAGCCACACGCACCGTGATTACAGTGCTTTCGGTAGCCAAGCTCGCCATGTCAACGACGATCTTTTCTCTGCCCCCTTCGAGATTTCTCAATATTTTCTTCAAGAACTCTCCGCGCTAACCAGCTGCTTCGCAACAAAAACTCGCAAACAAACAGTTCTTCTCCCCATTTTCTGCTTGATTTCCGAAACATTGCAACAACCTCGCAATTAGGGGATTTAAGTCAACGGGTTGACAAGGTGTAGACGGTAAACCTCTAAAACGAACGTGTTGCTGCTCACGCTAATTGTGTTTTTGTCTGACGAATATTGCAAAAGATGGTAGGATTCGTCGCGAGACGCAGATTGTACACTTCCAAGGCATCAGATTGCAGAATGGACTTGGAACAATCTACATTACCCACGTGGTTGAGAAAAATCTCTCATTTTCAACCTTATAAGTTTAAAAATTGCTAGACACGCCTGAGATTTTGTACAGTCGTAGTCTCGCAAACACACCAGCCCAAAAGCAGCGAGGAGATTTTTTACTTCAATAAACAATCATCTTCCTCAGATCATTCCTCAATTCTGGAGGAATGATGTACAAAATCATAATCGAGAAGGCGCGAGGATGCGAAGGAATAAGCTTCGTTTCCATCATGCTACGCGCATTCTGGGAAAAAATCGAGGAGAGGAGCGCCTGAAATGAGCACCATGAGCCATTTCTGCGCACAGAATCGCAACTTCTCTGGGATAGCCTTCCTCAGATCCACAAAAACGAAGTCCCCCCACCCCTGAGAAACTGCGGCACAACCTGCGGAAATCATCAACGCAGGAAAGTGGGCTTAGAAGCAAGCTGAAGCTTATCAATATCAAGAGGACAATTAGGGCGAATGCTGCGCAAAATGCATGATGGGTATGCGGGTGCCACAATCCAGCAAGTGAAGGTGTTGCAGACCCAATTCACCGCCGAATTTATGATCGAGTGACTGGGTTGTTCACAGGCCTTTGACGGCTGTGGAACATCCAAGCGCTTATGACCTGAAGAAACTGGATCCCATGAATGCGTCATTGACATTCCCTGCTCTGTTCACTCATCTCCAGACCATGTTCTGTTCACCACTCGGCGTCAGTTTTCCAGTTCCGGAGCCCGAGGCCTTGCGGTACTTGGAGCATCGTCATGAGCGCCATATCTATGAAGACCTTGTCAGACGAGCCCCATCGTGCAGTGGAGGCAGTCTTCGTGTGCCGCCGTCCATTGGAATCATGTCAATGACGGAGCCTTCACTACGTCGTCCTTCTAGAGCATGTCAATGACGGAGCCTTCACTACGTCGTCCTTCTAGAGCATGTCAATGACGGAGCCTTCACAGCCGTCTAGACGAGGACATGTAATCAGGAATGCTGGATGAAGAGCTTGCACCTTGGTACTTGAGAAGACCACTGTACGATAAACTATGATTCGCCTCTTTAGTTTGGCTGCTCTGCAGCTATTCTAAAAAGCCATGCTGTTATATCATTTTTCCGACGGCACAGGTCGGATCATTACATCTTACTGTCTCGTTATCCTGCGTCTTATCATTCCATAATGATCGGTAGTGGTGCCGTATTAAACAGAAGTCGTGTTTTTGGATACCCTTGGAACAAATTCATTGCGCATTAGAGTTGTAGAGATTATCTCAAGTTCAGAATTTTTACATTCAAGTTTGATTTAGTTCACAATCTGGTTTGATTCAAGCAAAAGGGTAATCAATAGCCTCTGCGGTTAAGCAGGCAGTACGATCGTTGTAGCGTGCAATTTCAAGGCTATGATGGCAGTGAGCTACAAGATGGTGACACCTCAGCGGTCTTCTGTACACGCATGCCTCGCATAGCACTCCATAAAGATCACACCGGACTGACTCGTGTAAAAGCTTTCATCGTTACTCAGTACTCGGCAGAGCTATATACATATCCAATCAAGTCCAGAAAATCATTAAAACAGACCGTAAAACAAAAGTCAAAATTATCTATCTGGATAGGAAAAATGACACATCAGACAATGGCCATAACGGCGGACGTGTCAAAGCAAACATCAGAATTCATAATGAGAGCTTTGGTATGGTAGAGGAAAATGGTGTAAACTTGGAGGAAAAACTGTGGAAAGACTACTTGGGTAGTTAAAAGACAGTATTGTATTAGAACATACCTTGAAGAAAAGCAGCTTGTGTGAGAAGGAATAGCAGCACAATAATTTCGCCAACTTCCAACTTTGGCAAGCTACCTAAAGCCCTTACATTAATTAATGTAAATATAAATGTGTATATATATATATATATATATATAAATATAAACTTCCTGAACAGAAATTAGGACACACGCAACTCCATCCCTTTCAAACTCCAAATACGTTACTCAGCTGGACCCCCAAAAACTAGTGTACAGAGCGGTGCAATTAGTGTCGACAGCACAACTGCAACCAAAACACTTGGAAACAAATTCCAATACATTATACCAGTAATAATGCAACTGAAACCGAGGGAAAAAACCGTGGAAACCAGTGACTTGCCTAGTCATACACCCACATAACCTGAGCCATCACAATTGCGGTCACAAGTCCTACCCTGGCAAGTTATTAAGGCATCAGACTATCATGGACTCCTCGTGAGCAGCATCAACCAACCACTGCTGGTCCCCACCGAGTTGGACTATTTTGATCACCATATCGTAATACACCCACAGTAGCAGCAGGGATATTTTATTGGAATCTGCGTACTCTGAATCACACCTTCTAGTAAGGTGACTCAAAGACTGGGCCATGAGATCAGTTGACATAAATGAATAGGTGTCTTCAATCCTATCAAGGGGTCAGAGTATTAAGGGATTTATCTACAATTTCACCTCCCGGCTTGTCCACTACACCTGTACCTTGGTTGCAAAAGCAATGTACAATGTTCATCGGGTATGCCATACTCATGTAAATATAAACAAATAACCGAGAGCCTCATCCAGACCAGACCAGGCCTGGTCTCCAAAACTCACTCTCCGAAACACCCTTCTATTGAACCGCTCCCAATAGAAGACAATGCAACCACTTGGAAAGCAACTAAAAATCCTTTCCAAGTTGGTAACTTTCATAGGCCGACGCTGTCACATGATGTGGAGAAACCTTATCCATGTAGGCAGCTCTTAGAGCTTCGTAGCTCAGCTTTTGACCGTCTTGGCCAAGATGAGAAGCTACCACTGGTAGCTTTTTGATGGAGTCTTTTGTGGCTGAACTATGCCTTACTTTGGGGCTTGAAATCATAGGGCCATATGGCAGGTTACCGTTTTTCCTGTTGGGAGACGAATATTTTGAATTGTACTCACTTTGAGGGCTCACAAAATTCGGATATTTCACCTCTTCCCGGGGGGCAGGCCCAGCCACCGGATAATAAGTCATGTGATTGTTGTTCAATCTTCCAGCAAAATATCCTGAAGCAGGAGAACTATTTGCATCGAAAATCATCTCCCCTTCAAGCATCCGCAGGACCTGGAGGTGCAAGACAGGGATGAGCAGGAGAGAAGTATGTGTTTTTTGACGCTCATCAACAACACGCAAGCAACCTATGAAACAGGGTCTATCCCGCCAAAAATACCCTGACGACTGATTCCAGGACACGTTCAAACCTCTCATTTTTCAAATCAAGCACACGGAAGTCCCACCAACCTGTGCCATACGCGGTCGAACTGAGGGATCCCTGCGTATACAACATGATGCCGCATGCAACATGCTTTCCATTTCGGTGTCCGAAAAGCGTTTCTCGAGCCGTGGATCTATTGGAAGAGTACCTCTTTCCTCCAACAAGGGCCTTGCCTGCAGAACCACAAGTAGATTAGGTCTCTCGCTGGTAACCTTGCAAACTATACGATTGATAACGACTTAGCATACAAACCTGAAGGATTTCAGAATGCGGCCTAGGATCAGAGTTCAAGTGTGCGGTTATTAATCAATCAGAAGAAAAATACACCATTAGAGGGCCACTTGAAATGAACAACTACACATACCCATTCTGTTAAACACTGCTCCCCTCTGGGACGGTTGATGTCAATAGCTTTGCGACCCGTGATAAGCTCCAGAAGCACAACACCAAACGAATACACGTCTGCCTTGTCTGTAATCTGACCATGCTGAGTATATTCTGGAGCCAAGTACCTATAACCCATTTGGCAATCAATAAATTATTAGCGATGAAGGAAATCAGTCTACAAGGTGGAATGTATAACCAATAAAGATTTGGGTTATCAGAAGAGAATAAATCTGAGCGTGATCACATATACCCGAAAGTGCCAATAACCCTGGTCTCCACACCACAATGTCCGTCTGGCTGCCATCTTGCGAGTCCAAAATCTCCCACCTGATATCCAAAGAACAAAACTTCTCTCAATGACTACTCAAGTGTAAGAATCTGCCAGCTTAGGAGTAGGAAATGGAACTACTTGAATTGAAAAGAATTTCTGCTACGATGCATACCATAGGTTCAAAGTCGTGGGTAAGCAGAATATTGTTGGGACGCAAGTCTCTGTGCACAATACAACCAACCCGACAATCCTCATGCAAATATCTTAAACCTCGAGCTGTTCCAACAGCTATCTTATGGCGCGAGCTCCACTCCAAAACAGGCCTGTCTCGCTCTGCAGCACCAAAAGTACACACAATCACAAATGAACTACGCGAACGACACCGACACCCCGTTGAGCAGTTGAGAGCATGAAGCAGGTTCATCAAGTCAAAAACTTGTATAAAGAGTACTTGAGAATGACTCACCATAAAGATGCCCGTCCAGTGATCCATTGCAGATGAACTCATACACGAGGAGACGTCTCTTTCCTTCAATGCAGTAACCAATGAGCATCACCACATTCCGATGCTGAGCATAACTTAAGACTTCAACCTCTGCACAGAACTCTTTGTCACCCTGCGTGCTGGCCAGCTTATATTGCTTCACTGCTATGCCCTGCCCATCTGGAAGGACACCCCTGTGGACCGACCCATACCCGCCCTCGGCGAGAAAGTTGGACCGAGAGAAGCCATTTGTTGCAACCTCAAGCTCCTTGTAGCTATATCTCTGGGGTGGTTTTCCAAACATGGGGGCCTTGTGCTGACACATGGAGCACAAAGGTGGAGGTCCTGGAAGATTGTGTTTATTTAACATGATAGCCATCTTCTGCCTCATTAACGCATCAGCCTTCCCGCGCTTCAGTCTTCTCTCAGGAGATGTATAACAAGGTTCGTGGTCCCCATTGTACCCAGAAGGTGACCCTCCATCAGAGGCGGCACAATCTTGATCTGCATTTTCCTGCAAAATTGCCCGAAGGCTTTGACCAAGTGTGTTTTCTCTCTTTACACTAGAACCTCTACCCTCATATGACTCGCGCCTGGCAATACTTGCCGATTTCGCAGGAGAGTCTACCGTCGGTGTTTTCGCAGGCGATCCCCTCCGAGAATTAGCTCTGGAACCGTTTCTGGACGCCGGTCTGAGTGTTGGAATGCTGTCTCTCGATTGCGCAAGACCTCGGATGCCTGTTAATAGCATTGAAGTGGTGAGTTAACAGTACTCTTCTTATGATGTGTAGTACAAAACCAATAGAAAGTACAAACGAATCTGTTTCGTAAATAAGATACAAGTAGACACCGCACTCCTGAACTGAAGTCTATAGAACAGATTCACACACGCAACACACCTGCAGGTGACCTGGAATAATCTAGTGGAGCTCGCGAATCGCCTTGATTAGATTTCTGCAATATGCTGTTTGGCGAGGACTCCATGCTCAACATACCGGGCACGACGATTTCATCACCTATATCAGGGTAAAATGCTCTAAAAGAGGCACCCTTCTCTAAAGCTCTTGTAGCTGTAGCTTCCAAGATGCCCCCACGAACTACAAGCTCTGTAGACGAGCCATTATTTGACAGTGGACCCGAAGCTTGACACGGTGAGGTGTCCGAGCTTAATTTCGATGAGGTACAGGGTTCAGAAGGAGTGAAAGGTGTCATGGTATCATCAGGGCTACTTGAGGGTGTGCTCGTTTTCAGCAGTGAATGGGGCCCGTTTCTGGCAGCGGCAGAAATTGAAGATACGTGACTTGGCGCTTTCGAGGAATCATACACCCTAGAATCCTCCTGTACTATTGGTGCTGGTTGTTGCCCAGACTGTCTAGCTGGAGACTCAAGGATTCGTGAATTTCGCTTCAGGTTCAGCCGTAATATCTTAGGCTCTGAAGGCTTCACAATAACAATATTGCATTGTAAAAGCTCCATGCAAACCTTCGCCTCTTTCTTCAAATGCCTGCATATTCACAAGTATCTTTGGTTTAAGTTCACAATTGCTACTTAAAGAACCTTAGTTAGAAATTAAAACGGACTTGAGGCGTACAATGGTATGGACCTGAAGCACTTGGACTTGGTGGAACTCTGAGAATGTGAAAGAAATGTCATTAACTTTCAATCAGGACTATGAGATGGCCGCTTACTTATCAAGAACAACCCAAGTGGCACCTAAGCTCCTGGCCTCTATAGCTGGAGCCTCTCGACCATCAACTTCCTGAACCTTCACGTCGATGGCAATCTGCAGAACTCCCACAGGTGCAACTAATCAACAACTACTTCACAATTCTCCGATTCCAAGGGGCATGCACTCCACGGCCAGAGATCCATTTCCAAATTGCAATCTCCACAAGAAGAACCTGTTCAATGTTTCTGTACACGTCAAGAGATAAAGGAGCATGTATATCGTACACGGGCAAAATGCATACCTTCTTTTGATTGCACACATCCTGAAAGTGCTGGATCATGGAAGTACAACCCTCGATTATTTCTTCATCCACCTCTTTTGCTCCCCTTGAGCTATCGATTACACCGCGTAGAACACGAGGAGTTGCACAATCCCCTCCCAACATCTGCAGCGACATGGGAAACCCCCATATTCTTCGCACAGGGCCTGCAAACCGAACATTCTGTCTCAGAGCTTCTCAATTTTCCAAAGGCAGGCAGCATAACAACTGGTTCAAAAATAAGTAACGCACAGACAAGGCCTGAACCCAAATTCTGTAGTCAACTACATGAGAATCTATACTAGATCGATCGAGGAATATGGACAGCATTCGGCGCACGCGCCACCCGCAGCCACAAGAAGTTAAAAAATCCACAAAGAACGAACATGAGGGTGCTCGTCGACTGAACGGGGTGAAACTGCAAGAGTTACAGAAAAGACACGATCGAGGGACATTAACCTAGTAAATAGATGGTACAACTCGACCTCGCTGCAGACTGCCAACAACAAATAACCACAGAATTTTAATCATGGCAATCTTTCTTCAAACACCGAAGACTGTCTAGATTCAGACTTTCTAAACGCCAGCCAGGACCAAACGGGTACAGCAACAATGGAATCGTTTTACCCAACTCTCAAAAGAACCAATAAATGTAGAAGATCTTCATGGGATCTGCATCTGACCCAAAGAAGTTCCCACGAAGAGTAGAATGCAGAAAAAACCTCGTAGAGTAGCGACTGACGGAGTTCCAAGCTCTTGTAACTCAAATTTGGCCGTCTTAATTACAAATTGCGAGGTATGTGTGTAGCTCTTACCATGGCTTCCCGTGGCGTGAAGAGCAAGTACAGTGATAGATTCCCCGGGCCTGACCAAAACATTGCTGAGAGCCCATTCCAGAGCATACTTGGTGATTTGTCTTGAGCCGTCCAATACAACAAGCACCTTCTCATAAGTAAAAATTTCACTCTGAGGCCGGGAATACGGTTGAGGCGAAGACCATTCGGGCATGGACGCTGGAGCAGTCATTGCACAGGACCTCTCTTCATCTGCTGTTATAAACACTTCCCAGCATCTGCGTGCCCTTTTAAATCCGCCTCTTTCTGTGCGAATTCTAGCGGCCGGCCTAGACGGCTGATCTACGAGTGACATTCACATGTTTACAAACTAATGCCTGCGTCCTCAAGAGATGCGTTAAGATCTCCGGGGACCTGAATGTACACCCCATGCCACTTAGTGCTCCCATTCCATCTTCACCGACCCAACAATGAGATTCACTCCACCCGGACGCCCTGGAGCTCCAGACATTCGCACCTTCGAATCCACAACCTCCAAGAAAAACCCCACACACACGACGCAGATTCAAAAATACAGAGACTCTCCACACGGCACAATTCCGCAACACACTGCAAGAAACGGCTTCCGAAACACCAAAAAAAAACCAACAAACGTTCCGAGCTGCGTCACTCTCAACGCCTAACCCCAGATCCCGAACTCCTCAACAAGCAGGGCAGGTTCTACAGCGACCATCCAACTCGTCATCATCCCACTTTCGCGTTTCGCCCGCAAAACCCAGGCACACCGGGGGTCGAGGGAAAACACCCACTAAGGGCCTCGTATGGCATTGCTGGGAAGAGCGAGGATACGGTCCACGCAGCAGCGGCCCTCAGATGAAGCTCCCCTGAAGCCCACCCAACGGCAGCCTTTACAACTAGGGCGGGGCGCCTTTTACTCACTTCACTCGCGGCTGCGCCACGGTACTCTCTACTCAAGCAGTATCGCATAATCTATACTTCTGCGGTAACGACAAACATTAATGGTGTCCTCCATCGCTTGCAGCTCCTCCTGCTCCTGCAACACACTCCACAACGCCACAGCCCAAGACCTTCTCCGGGCCGGGCACGAACGAACGAAAACTCTCCCCGATGACGAACGAAAAAATCTCTGATGACGAACGATACTTCTCCTACGGACGAAACTTGTTGACTGAGGTGCCGCGTTGACGAGGATGGGGAAGTCTCGTCCGCAGAGAGAATTCGGGGATACTTTTCCATTAATTGTTAGCTTTTTGATAAAGTATGCTTGCTTATTTCGCATCTTTTTCTGTCTGAGCTGTTGATGAGTTGGGCGTGGATGGTTCATTAATTTTTTCTTTTTCTTCTTTTTCTTTTTCTTTTTCTTTTTTTTTGCTTATCGTTTCAGTTTGTAATGTGGCGGTTGCCACGTTGTGCTTGTTCATTCTTGTTGTCCATATTCGTGAAGCGTTTTAATGTACCTATTCGTGTAAAGTGAAAAGCCACGTTACAAACTGAAACGATAAACAAAAAATGATGGACCCTACTGGTCTATATACAATGAGTTTGTTCAATTTTGATTGAATTGTATTATAAAAAAAAAAAATGTTACTTACTGTTTTTAAAGAATAAAAATCATTGATAGTAGTTTATCAAATGATTATAAATAATTGAACAATACCAACAACCACATTTTTTCAAAAATAAATATAAGTAATTAATTAATTAATTAATACGTGCACTATTCATATGGATCAAATTTTGCGTAATTCTTGCATTCTGTTAGCCACTGTTGGTATTGGTGTTTTATTGATTATAATTTATGTGTAATTATATATTTTTTGCCAAAAATTTCAGGCTTGAATGAAAATCACGATTAAATCAATTAAGTCAGATTAGTTTTGTGTTGTTGGATTTTAAATAATTTCTGAACGGACATATGTTATAATTGTAAATTTATAAGCTTTTACATGCTTATAGATGTTGTTGACTTGGACTTTATAACTAGTGTGAAATCCTAAATTTAAAAACATCATTTATAAAATTAATAAAGCTAATTTGATGGTTAATTATTTAGTATATGCTTACATATATATACAAACTTAATATTACAGGAATCATGTAGAATGAAAATACGTCTAATATAAAACATTGTATACTTATTCATGGTCACTAAATTTATGTAAGGAATAACTTATATAGAGATCCACATAATTACTGACCAGTATGAGACTCATAAATTTCATACTAAATCTGTTGAATATGAAACATTTTAACAATAAGCCACTTTTAGTGTTGAAATTATCTTATTTTCTATATGTGGATGATTTGTAATAATTTAATAAACTATCAATGTAATAATAACATTAATTTATTTTCAAATTATTTCTTAATGAGTTAGCATGATAATTAATGAACTGAATCTGATGATGTGCAAAAGATTGATGAACAAAGATTAAAATTAATTAATTAAAATAAAAGAAAAGAAAAACAAACAAACAAGCAAAGTGTAAATTATCAAGTAAAGTACTAGTTAATACAACCATAATATTACGATTTAGGGGAAAAAGAATGAATATGCATCTACAATAAAATAAAATAAAATAGTGAAACTAGGAGTAACTTATAAGCACAGATTACTTTGAGTAAAGGTCTGATTTGACCAAGATCTAATCAAATATTTCCATCTCAGCTGATACAATTTGTGTACTGAATATTCAAGTTCTATGATCAATCAAACTGAATGAATCATTGAATCCATCTCTCTACATACATGTTACATATATTTAATACAATTTTATTTTTATTTTCATTTTTTTTCTAAATGATGTGATCAATGATGGTGGCATGGCACTTTCATACCTATTGTATTATTGGAATAAGTTTATTTACTAACACAAATGTGTGTGAGAGATCATAAACCATACAGAAAATATCAATTTCAAGAAGGGAAAAAGTTGGGTGGTTTAAAAACACTACTATCGTAACATACAAAATATATATGATGTTCAAAGTGAAACAGACATAATTCAAGTTGCAACAACTATCGTGTTTTCTTTAAATAAATACATTACGCAATCATTTGTTGAGGTAAGTTGTAAGTAGCTCATAAGCAGTGTTTCTATGAAAGGTTGAATCCAACTCTCATAAAAAATAAGTACACCACAGTAATTCAAAATAAGAATAACACTCTTAAATCATATATTTTATCTATATAAACATGTTGTTTACAAACATAAACAGAAAATCTTACCTTTATTTTTTATTTTTTTTAAAAAAAAAAGAAAAAAGAAAAGGTAAGATTTTCTCAATAAGAAGAATTTCACTTAGTTCCATGCACAAAAAACAATATCATTTCAACTTATAGAAAAGTTAACATGAATAGCACGTTTGTAAAGTTTTTGCATGTGCATACATATCACTTTTTCACATGATAAATTGTGTACGCATCTTTTTCAAAGCATCCTGGATATAAGTTGAGAATAAATCATCCAATTGTATTTTTAATAGCTTCATGTGTAATGCACTTTTTTTTCAATAATAAAATGAACTCACACTTTTGTGTAATGTTGTTTGTCAAAAAATGTAAATTTTGGTGTGATTCGTTTTTAGAAAACTCGTGCATTTCATTCAGAATCACAAATCAAATTTCAGAAGTGTAAAATGTGGATTACAGTTTGATATTTTCTGTGTATTTTGCAGAAATTAATGAAAGATCTAAAAAAGCATAACCTCAAAACAATAGTAACTTTTAACGGGACGATGAAAATATACCTGGAAAGTAATCTGACAAAGTAGAAAAGTGACAAAACCACATTAATATATTAAATTACATTAAAGTAATAATATACACACACACACACACATTTCATTTACTTGAGAGATATGAGTAAGGGTACCGAAACCTCCAACATCACTTGTCCTTTAGTGGGTGCCTGGGTATCCATCCCCATAACCGTGTTTGCACAAGAATATTCAGAGGCTCTTCTGCAATTCTTTACAAATAAATAAATATATATATATATATATATATGAATGAGACCATTCTTACTTTCCAGCCCCCCATGTCAGCAGATTCTACACATTCAAGAGAGGATCAGAAGCTTCCAGCCTCAGTTTTTAGGGTTTCATTGTTTTAGGGTTAGGGTTAGGGTTAGGATTCGGCACAAACTGAAGAACATGAGATGTATACGAGGGAGCGTTGCAGGATGGAGAGAGAGCTATGAGTGGAAGAGGAATTGGTGGATGAAGAAGTAGAGGAAGAAGAAAAAGAAGAGCCCGTAGCAGCAGCTTCATCCTCACCTGCTTCGGGAGGCATGCTCCAGAGTCGTGAGGTGTTGGGCTGTTGCCTCGACCGATGGGCGGTCTCAGGAAGTTGGTTGGAGCACGGGGGATGCGTGAGACAGGGCGGTCAATTTCATGCACTTGGAGCCTATGTAACCGATACCCCTACTTCTTCTCCACCATAGGGTGGTGGAAATTCAAAGCTGCAAGGACAATCACTGCGACGGAAGCACAGCTTGGGCAGGACTCATGCTCTGGAGTGCGATATCCTCCACGAAAAAACGGGGGGGGGGGGTTACGAAGCTTTGGTTCCGTTTCTGAAGCGCAGAATGGAATTTGTCGATGATGGTGCACGTGCCACATGGTTTGTTTACTTTGCAGTTCTGTTGTGGGTTTTGACTACCTGGGTGTTATCACTTAAACTTCTCACATTTTTCCACCAGTTTTCAATTCCTGTCTATACCGTCATTGAAATTATAGACACGTGGTTTATAATTCTCAGAGGGAATGCAACAGAGAATAATCTTTTTGTATTTTCTAATGCGTCACAGAATATACGAATGGTCGATTATACGAATGGTCACATAATTTGGCACGTGTTTCCCGCTGATCTTTCTACAGTGATTATAGAGAAAGAAAGAAAACTCCTGATTGATTGTCTTCTAATGACGACTTTACACTTAACTAATAAATTGAATGGTGAAGTTTCTGGTGGGCGCCTTGCTAAGACAAATTATCTACGGAATTGAGTTCGGTATCCACCTGCTCGGTTGATGCCTTGGCTCTCACAGCAGAAGGGCTCACATTGACCCTCTAACACAGCTCTCCGAAGATATGGAATTTTTTTTATTAGAGCTTAACATTGAAGAAGCATAATACAGTACGCAGAGCTATAGTTTTCTAAAAAAACCTTCCGGTAAGTCTCAAAAAGTAATTCCAGTAGAAAAACTCGCACATGATGGGCTTTCAAAGTAAGATCTGAAATTTAAACTTCCGCAAACTGCAGCGACTATTCAATTCTATTTCAGCATGATGATCACCTGAATAGCGAGGAACAGAACCTTTGATGGCAGCCTCAAACCTGAATTTAGATTTCAGACACTACAGTTCTTCCTAATATACATACAGCTGTACAACAGTAGGAATTGACGATACTAACAAGCACCGCCAGCAACCTATGCTAAGACTAATGTTATTGACGAGTGGCTCACTCGTGTGTCATACAAGAGGGTATCCATCGGCACTCGCAGTGATTGACCTTCACCACACTCGTTTGGTTCTCCCACAAGATCAAGCCTTTAATATAGGTTGGATAGCTTCAATGTGATCTACAAGGGCACGGTGGTTGAATATATGATTTAGGGAGGGTAAAACATAACCCAAACTTAGTAGTCGAAGAAGTCGAAGCTTACGGGGGGTACTTCAACTCTTGGTTCATCCCTATGGAAATGCTCCCACTTGGCCAGATAGCCATCCCAAGAGCTACTAACCAGCATTGGCTGTGTGGGATGCCAGCTGCAGTCACGCACTGTGCCTCGGTGAAAGCTCAATCTTGACACTTGTTTCCCTGTTACCTGAAGATCAGCAAATCACAAGATAATAAGAGATGGGGTCAATTGTAGAACTCATGAGGGTGCTGAGAAAGCTAAAACAATTCAACTCGACACGTATTACATATTCGATGACCGAACTCTGGGTTCAACTACGTAATATGCAATTAATAAAATCCGGATACAGGAGGGATTGTAGATAGAAATAAGAAATACCAAGTCATAAATATAAACACAACCATCGTGTGACCCTGTGTAGATGTACTTTTGCCCAGTGCTGCACCAATACCACAGAATATCGCAAGAGTCAGTATGAAGGAGCACGTCACTAATTATCTATATAATAGCACCCTTAGCAATGTCTCACGTTCCAATACGTAGCACAAGGCTTCTCGGTTACAGCAGGAGAAAAACTAGGAGAGAAAGCATCTACTAAGACAAAAAATGCGAGTGAGAAGAGATGGCCAATAGACGCGAAAGAAATCTGCTAAAAAGAGTCATATATATATATATATATATATATATATAGATATACTCATATATACTCATATATATATATATATATATATATATACTCACAAACACATTAATGCGTGTGTAGAATAATTTTTTTTACAGTCATTTGTCAGCTTAGCGCTAGCAAATCCGCCCCAAAATTAAAGGAAATCACAATTGTTTACATGGAAAAAAATAAAAATAAAAAACACTCAGCAGACCTGGCCAATGGAGAGAAGTAGCAGCGAATAAGAGTGCGCAGCACCAAATGTCCCTTATAAGTCATCAGGGACTGATCATAAGGATGACGTACATCGCGACCCATGCCAGGGTAGTCCATCCATCGGTAATCCCACGCAAAAGCAGGGATCTTTCGAGCTTTCCTGGTGCACAGTCCCCTCTCATCTGTATCAGTGCTTCCACTCTCCAACTAATGGCACTCGTGGTAGAGAAAGAGTTTTGTACAAAAACCCGTAACCTGTTAACACACTATCTTGGCAAGAGCAAAAATATAATTACCAAGGTTTTGGTTCGTCCGAACTAAAAACCTCTACAACAATTCACGTGATAAATTCAGAAAATTAGAGACTAACTTGCACGGTGTATGGCCCGATGACATCTTTCGAATATCCCACAGCTTAATGGCCTGATCTTTGCCATTGGAGATAAAATAGCGGCCATCTTTTCTGCTATTAATGAACGTAATTCCCTCTAAATGCCCAACGAGCTGTCCAGCAGGCCGTCCCGTTTGAGCAAAGCAACGGCGATCCCAAATCTACACATCCAGAGCACAAGAAATTCAGGTGCATACAATCACTTGCTAAAAATAAATTATGAATTAAATAAAACAATGCGATGCAAACATGACAGTACTAGAAAACAACGAACTTAACATACTACTGCAAACTTATAGAAGATACCTTGCAGGTATTGTCGTCACTTCCAGAAAATATCAGGTGACTTGACTCATCAGCAAACGTCACAGCATTGACATCATCCTGTAACCATCACACCCATAATTTACGAAACAACAATGAGATAACCCAACTATCTAGCACAAATAAAACTGTGCAGTAACTCGATCTCAATTACAGAAATCCCACTCTCAAAGTAGTATGCTTCAAATTGCTAGAGCTTGGATTAAAACCGAGTGCAACAACTACCGCATGTGAAGAGAAGATGTAGACATGCCGATGTCGTGCTGATTCACACTGACATCCAAATTTATGCATATTTGGACAAACATCCGACAAAGCTAAACCACAGCACAACGCCCCGACAATACTATGGTCCACAACTAGATCAATATTACAATCAAACCAGACCTTATGAGCATTGATCCGTAAAACTGGTTTGTTGGCCTCCAAATCATAAATATAAACACACTTATCGTTACTGCCTGCCACAAGCTCGCGACCATCTTCGGAGAACTGCAGTGACCACAGCCCAGATACATCTCCTCTCGCATCTGATGCAAAGTTTAAGGCTTCGTGAATATCCTACACTCCCAAAATTAAGTTAAAAATTAGAACAGAACATGCAAGATTCACATCCCTTCCTATGAAACGTACGCATTCAGAAAGTGAATACTAATCGCTTCTGAAAATCACATATCAGTGGGCACTGATTGCCAGAATTTAAAAAAAGAGTATGCACTTACAACAAGAGCACACATCTCCATGGAAAAGTGAATACGTCTTTACTCCGAATTTCTCAATATTTTTCCAACTTAAAGTCTCACCGTGATATTCGCAAGAGATCTAACATCACCACTTTCGCTGCCAACGTTTACCAAATGCACCACTGGTGTTATAGATGCATAAACCTGCAACCAGACAGCATACATCTCCTTTCAGAGACACATCCTTGCACTGCAAACATCCCCCCCCCCCTTTCACCATGATCAAAAGAAAAGTTTCAAATATAAGAAACTTGAATAATAAAATCACACACGCGCAAACGCGCACGCACACACACGTACACATACACACACACTGTATCAGACGCCTCCACAAATAAAAATAACTTACAAGAAATCGCTTATCTGGTGACAAAGCAGTGTCTGTTACGGTCCAGCGAAGGTTGCGAGCTTGAATGTCTTTCTGAACTGCCCAATCCTTCTCAACGTTGTAAATCCTTATTCGTCGGTCCTGCTTGCCAGTAATTTACCCGATAAAACGTGATTGACAACAAATATATATATATATATATATATATATAGATATATTTTTGCACTTAAGAGTGGGGATTTAACGCAATGTGTTTCTTCATCCTTGCATAGATTGGATTGAAGACAATAAGATCACGAATCTTCTGTGCTACGTATGAATTCGAAAGCTTCCAATGTAAAACTGCTCGTGATGCTATTTCAAAGCAGCATGTCGTAATCCTCACACACTAGCTAGCCAACTAAAGTCTTGACAAATTCATACGAACACAAAAGCAACGTGACGGACTAGAAAGGCTAACGTCCTGTTGATCCTTTCCCTGACCACCATGGGATAACTTGGACTAATTGCAAATAATCACAAACTCTATGCACACCTCACCTAAAGATATAACACGAAGCAAATTCTGTCACTCCGGACTCTTACCTGGAAACCTGCTGTGAACAATGTACCGTCTGCTGAAAATTGCCCAATGTAGGCTCGACTGTTAAATTGCTCTACGACAGAGGGTCCACCGGTTGGAACATATCGTCCCGCCACATGACAGCACTCGGCTCTTGAAAACCTCCCGTTACCAGAAACGTTGATTTCTCTGCCGGCAAGCATAGTAGTTACATTAACCAAGCCTGTACGTTTAACTTTCCCCAACCTAGCTGATCCATCACTAGGGCAATGCCGCATTGCTGTAGACTGAGCTAAAACATGGTCCAATGGTACAGGAGTTTCACAACCGTCGCCTCCACCCAATGTCGTTCTGGTACCAGAACTTTGATTGTACTCCTCACTATCAATCACTTCTTCTAAGTAAAGCTCTGAATCGGCATCCTGGTCCTCGTACTGGTCATCTTCCCCTCCCGTGTACTCTTCATCACTTTCACTGCTACTTATTCCAGGATCTTGAAGTGCACTCCTCATTGAAATTCTGCTGGTACCTTCCTCGTCATTATTGGCCATTACTTGATAACGACCCAACCTTATTATTAATCGAGTGGCACGAGCCACAAGGCCAAGAGAGACAGCAGGCTCTTCATGCCCTGCCATGTTGGAATTGTGCCAACGATAGTCCTCAGGATCCAGAGCTGAAGACTTGTCCTACTCCAATAGCAAAATTCAGCGGAACAGCGTTATTTTCAAATTTTATGAAATAATACAGGGAATAAAAGAAGACTGAGAATTAGTACGAGCAGTTTGCGTAGTTGGCACACAAATATCTTGTTGAACTGCAAACAAGGAGGTGAGAAGCTGATCCATAACGAGTATGCAACTAACCCGAGTCGGCTCAGCCCAATCACTAGTAGTGCAGACATAGGGTCAAGTAACCAGTCTAGTCTGATACAACCAATACTCAATATGCAACAATAGCACGACAAGATTCCACTCTAAAAAAACATATTGAAAACTGTCCATTTCCCATCTGTTGTGATTCGACACCAACAACGACTAAATACATTCAGCTTCGTATCATCTACGATGTCATAGTCTTCAAACTCATATCTCACCTTCACTCAGTTTTATGATTTCCTGAGAAAGAACATAGTAAAGGCCCGGATAAAAACTGGCTGGGTTCGAAGTCTAATTTGATGAAAATTCTTCACTTTTTAACCATCCCTATCCACAAACTACAAATAAACAGGATTTTAATTTGTTAGCATTGTGTATGAGGAAGAGAGAATCAGACAGAGAGACAGAGGGAGGAAAGATCATCTGCCAAATCCAACCCCTACATTGCCGTAAGTTGCAAAACAATCCATAACAATTAAAAAGTTCAATGATAGTCCCCCGCCTAAACGAAGAAAACCGTCGGATGTGGGATTTCAAAAACCACGCTGCACGAACTGCACGATAAATTACGAGACACGCCTCATAGCTCACAACTCAAGGGTTAAATTAAAATTGAATCAAGCGCCGCTCCAAACTCAAAATGCCGCGGCGATATGGTACTACTCAAACAGGGTGATAAATTTTGAATAGCGCCCTACATCTGACAGAAATGGAAAAATCGACCAACTATCTCTACGCTAGGTCTACATCACCCAGTATTGCGCAGCATCCAGGGTAAGCATGAACATCGATTGCTCAATTACAGCTTTTTGTTGGCCAATTACAGCGTGCACTTGCATTCGTGGATGTAAACCACCACCTACCAATTCAATTGATACACACAAAGAAAAAACCAACGAAACAAAGACACAAGTGCCACGGTCTCGAGACATGGCCCTGCGCGAAGAGAAAAAAACACAGAAGAAGAATTGAAGACCACCCAAAATCGTCCCAATTCGAAACACACCCAACAACAGTTAACGCTCAGCTTACCCGAAAAAAACACACACGAGCAACAGAGAAGAGATCCGCCGACTGTCGCCCAGCCAACCTCTTCGCAGCCCTCTCTCCCTCCACGCGCAATCCCTCACGGCTGGTCACTCACGACCGCAACAATCAGTCCATGAAAGCGCGATCCAAATCCTGTCATAGGCCGAACACTACCATCCGAAGCGGCAGCGCCACCTGCTCATGTGTCGTCACCGCATGGTGAATCCACGACACAGGCGTCGTCGTCGTCATCGTTGTGCAGGGACAGAATCCGCTATGCCGGCGGGCTTTCACGGGCTTCGCGTTGGCGTGGGATTTGCCGTTGTTGCGATTCCATCAACGCAGCACCACCGCCACCGCCACCGCCACAATCCTGCCTCTCGCTCCGCACTGTCGCCGCCCACCCCTAATCGGGCAGGGGCAGGACAGCCCGGGCAGACTTTTTCCCCCTTCTACGTTTACTTCTACTTTTTCTCCTGTTGCTAATTACTTTACACACCGTTGAGGCTTACGTGACATTCTTCCACGACATTTCCACGTCGATAGGGGTCCAAGCGATATTTCTATGACTCCATTACCATATCTACGTTTCATCCTCAGGAACGTCACATCGCATATCTAGCCACGTCGTAGAGGTTCTGTTGCAGTGCTGGTTGTCTGTATCCTCGTGTTGACGATCCATTTGGTAGATACGGAGGCTTCCTTTAAACCTAATTAATCCTAATTAAAGGATTTTAATTTTTTAAGATAACTATACATGAAGAAGAAATATAAACCATAGGACAAAATTATTTTTTTCTGTATAAAAGTACCAAAATTGCAAAATCGTATTGGACAATGATGTTACAAAAAACTATCATAGGTTGGTTCAAGCCCTTTTGTAATTCCAAAAAATACCCACACATCAAAATAGTTATATATCAATATCTTCTTGCATTAGTTGATTGATATATTAAAATCTTAAAATATAATGAAAAAAGAATAATGTCATTTTCTACATATCTTCTGACTCAAAACATGGAGGGGCAGGAATGGAAAGATAAGGTTGTTGGACCCATTGTTGTCTTAAATTTTCTATAAAATTTGATTTTAAACTCCATTATTACATCATAGTGCATTTCTGTAAAAACACAACCCACAACTAATATATTTATGTTTTTCTGATTGAATTTAGACTACAAATATGTTTGTCAATTTTACATTTAGCATAGAACATATAATTATGAAGTTTCATCTCTATTTCAATGTTACAAATTATAGAAGGTGCTTTTGTCATGTATAATAAGATCTATTAATGCATTAGTTATTAATAAAAATTATGGTATTATTGTAATGCATAGATAGAAAGACGCACAATTTTTAAATAAAACTGATTTTGTAAATATGTTTGAATATATTTAAAAAATAATTCATACAACAATAGCAAAAGGTACATAAAAAAATATTAAAATGGTATATATATATGTATATATATATATATATATTATTAAATTAGAAAAAAAATACTTAAGTATTTTTAATATTTTTTAACTAAAATCAATTAAAATTGGAATTGATCACATAATGTAATAATCAAACTTTTGTTTATAACTAATATGTTGTGAAGAATTGATTTGTATTGAACTTTTGTTTTTTTTGTATAATTATTCATCAAATTAATATAATTTGTATTTATATTCAAATATAAATAATAAAAAATATATGTTCTAGACATATATATTTATTCCAATAATTATCTATATAATTAAGTAGAAATACATAAAAGTAGATTAATCTCATAATATCTTCTAAAAAAGCTTCTATGAAGCTTTATAGATGTTGCTTTGACTTTACACGTGTTTTTAGTTAATTGGTAGGCTAAAAGGTCAATAAGTTAGCCACTTGATATACATGTTAGTGGCTTGTGGAATAAGCTAACTAGATGGCATACATATAAATAACTTACTTTATAAGTCAGGTTATGTGTCTAACAAAGTGAGCAAGTGTTAAAGGTCCTATAGAACATTGCCACATAGTTTTTACTTAGAAAGTATATACAGAGGCAAGAGTGAAGCCTTCTTCATTCTTGTTAATACCTTTTTAGTCCTTAATCTTGATTTAAGACTTTTTAGTCTTCTTGTCTTTGACAATAGCCGTTCTAATTCAATAAATTACTATCTTTGAGTGATTTATTTGTTTTTTCAAGTGATATAAGAGTTTATTGAGATTTTTTTTTGTTAAGATTTAGGTCTTTGAGATTATGTCCTCTTTGTATCACTTCTTGAGTATAGATTAGGTTTAAATCATACTTATAGTTTCTAAAATTATAATAATTGACTTTATTCATATAACTTCATCTTTAACTTGGACTATTATCAAATCAATATCAAAATCCAATTAAATTCATTAATTTTATTTTTAAATAAATAACTTTGATCTACAACAATATATTCACATCTTTATTTTGGCCAAGTAAAGATATAATTTTTCAAATTAGCCATTCTTTGAACAATTGATCACTTATTGTATTTTTGAAATCTTAAAGTTATTTTTTTATATTTGTTTTAGAATTTAGAATTTAAATTCTAAATATTTAGAGTCTTTATTAAAATTATAGTCATAAAAATAATATTAAAATTATTTAAATGTTATGTATTTTTGTGCACATAGAAATTATTTATTTTCATTTAATTAAAATAATTAAGTTAAGTTGACTAATTTAGTATTTTTAATTGACCAAATGTCTCTTTAAAATATGTTTTTTAATGTGCATTTAAAGTATCCAACATTGAAATTACTAAAACATGCTGATTTATAAAAATTAATATTATTGATTTATAAATTTGATAATATTTTTAAAAAATACAAGTAAATTAGAAGATATTAAATGTAATTTTCTGTATCACATCTTTTTAGATTCTTTAAAGTAATATTTAATCAAGATATTTATGCAATCAAAATATTATCTTATCCAGTATATATATATATATATATATATATATGTATATTTTTATTTTTTATTTTTTTTTATGAATATGCATTTCAGATATATATAAAAAATTGTTTATTTTGATTGAGAACACGCAAGTAAACAAAGTTCATCCACCCCAAGACGATCTGCTTGTCAAGGACATGTATTAGCAAGCAGGATTAGTGAGTATTAGAGGCAACTACACGTATCAGTGAGTTGCATTGTATCAGCGTGAATAAGCTTCTCAGCGTTCGCTCTACTAGCGTCGCCATATCGATTAAACACTGGAGGATTCGCATGATCAGAAAACGCGCAACAATTAAGAGTCACAAGCAGCTGCAGTTTATATAATCATTGAGCAACATGTTGCTCTGATCAGACAGACTACTATTGCACATTCTGAAGGACTTGAACTGGTAGACACGGGATCGCAACTGCGACTCGAGCACCGCCAACGCGTGGATTCTGACAGGATTGGGCGTGATCGATCCGTGGAGTTCCGTAGGGTGGAGCGAGCATGTCGAGATTGTGTGCGGTGAGTGTTTGGACCCAGCTCAGTTGTGCGTGTATTAATTAGCTGCACCACTGCCAACGTCACGCCTACAGTCCATGCTGTGAAGCGGTCCATGCAGCGCCTCTGTCACTGGACGTGTCGACGATGTGGCGCAATCGCTCCATGCTCCTCGAGATTTGAAGTTTTGCAGTGTTTCGTTGATGGTGAGAGTGTTTTTGAGACTCAGATGATGGATGTGAAGATGTGAAGCTTTGAAGATGTGAAGGATCACTCTGGTGCTCCAAGATTCACATGGAATCGGTTTTTAACTCTGAATGATACCACTGCGTTTCATATTCCTAGGATACTGCTTGATACAATGTGTAAACTACGTCTACATTCCTTCTAGATTTGTCAGTTTACAAATCAGTCTGGGTTTTGATTGTTGCGTATCTTCCATTCATCTGCTATGTTTGATCGTTGGTTCGGTGTTCTATCACTAAGACGAGACTTTTTCAATCAGAGAATAAGTTGTATCTTTTTGTTTTTCTTGACAAAGTGTTGCTTGTGATTCATTTTGACGAGGTTATTGACGAGGTTATTGACGAGCGATGTTATTTTCTGAGTGAAAATATATTTAAATTTTGAAAATAAATTGTTGAGTATTAAAAGCATACAATAAAATATTTGCAAAACAATCACCTCAACATTTGAATTTTCTCGTAAGTATTTGTCAATATAAATTTATAGTTTCCTTGATTAAGTTGAAAAAATACAAATAAAATAAATAAAATATATTTTGAATAAACAAAGCACATAAAAATAAATAAAAACAGTTTTTAAATATTCAAACATTCCCATCATCCTAAAAATATTTCACTCAAGTTTATTTTCAAATTGCAATTTTGAAAGCCACATACAGAATCAAACCATCGAATATAAGGGCAACCACTACCGCTGACTGCTGATGCACACTAAGAGTTTGAATATGTATACAAAAAAAAAAAAAAAAAAAAAAGCCGCGAAACACAGCACTGTATTGCAGAGAACTCCGGAGTTAGCAATTTAGGGTTAGGCAAAAACCTTTGTTCCGAGGGTGACCAAGGCACATTATAGGGCACAAGCTAGGTTCGAAGAAAGCTCGCCTCATCGTCACCACTTGAAGCTACCACGAAGCCGGAACACGTCGACGACGTCATCACTGAGAACACAATCATATATATAAAATAAAAACTCTCACCCTAACGCGTAATGATCGGGCCTTGTCGATCATGTCTTAGGCGTGGAACCACAACCTATGATGCCGTGTCGCCATGACAACCCGATAGCACAATAATGTATCTGCCGGAATTCTGGACTTCGCTCAGAACAATCGACACCACCACAAGCGCTGCCAAATCCGTCGTCCCCCCTCGGACTGTCGCAAATTCCGAGAAAGGCAAGCACCGAGGGTAGGGCATCATCGGCCGTGGACCCGTCATCTAGCCCACCTCAGATATGCAGAAGCCTCCATGTAAGCCGGACCTGAGCACTTCACGCAGCTTTGGCCATGTGGCGCCCTCACGCGGCTCGAGACTCATCCGACCCGTTTCTTCGCCGCGTGTGTGGATGTCATCAAGTTCCGAACACCCACAACCAAACCCTGGACGCTCCAAAAAGGCTGGATCCTGAAGCCCGACGATGTTCAACTTGCAGCATGTAGCGTCCAAACGACGAAATGAGTGCGGAATATTTCAGGGGTCGTAACGTGCATGCCCACATTTCCAATTTTTCCTTCTGTATATATATAGAAGAAAACGTTGTTCGATGGGGAGATCGAAGGGACCCACGGAGTAGTGATCAGAATACAA